AGAGGACGATGGTATTGTCCATGTCTCAGCAGCTCACAGCCTGACTGGAATCAGGGGCTGTGCAGATTGTCCAAGTGTGCTGGTCCAGACGCTTGGTTTCTCTTGAGGTTTCTCAGTTTTGGCTTTAAAAAAAAAAACACATTTTTGTGTAAAAAAAAAAAGTAGTAATCTGTCAGGATTCAAGCAGACAGAGACGGATCGTGGTGTGCCAAACTCTGGAAGTTTATTTAAGTTTCTCTCAAGTTCCACTGGTTTCCTCTGTTTCTTTCTCTCAGACAGAATAAAGGCAGTACACAGTTTATATAGTCATTGTCACGTCACACATCGAAAGACATACGTGTCACAAAGAGACAGTCACATCATAGTCATAACATGGAGTCCTTGTACAGTCCTGCACGTAGGCCATATTGCTATCTAATACTAACACCCTCCCCTTTGATCACATAATCACATGTGATCACTCAATTTGATCAATCAATAAAGTGGAAAAAAAAAAAAAAAAAAAAAAAAAAATTTAAAAAATATTAAAAAACAAAGAAAATGTATGCATTAAACTCATAATCATCAAATCAATATCAGTGGATTTTATCCTCTATCCTGGGAAAAAAACAAAACAAACAAAAATAAAGTAAATAAAAACAAACAAAAACTATTGGACAAACAAGAATTCAGCAGATTCAGTCAAAACACAGACAAAGACGAGCTGAGTAAAGTAGTCTTCTGTTCTCTAGATGTTACAGACAATGCCCGCATTCTCCACCACCTGAAGAAGATGACAAAGTCTGGGATCGCGTCTTAAATTCAGACAGAAGACATGTTTTATTGTCGATGGTAGAGACAGCACAAACAACAGATACAACAGAATACAAGTGTATTATACAGAGCGGAGGCATGGAGACCTCCAATCAGCAGCTTCCACGTTGTGCTTGTAGCTTGGCCTTCAGATAGACAAAACAAGGGAAAAGTACTGGCTTCTGCACATTGATAGAATGATGAGTTTAACTTTAACAAAAGTTGCTTAATACCATAGATGATACACACTATGCTAGGTTGGCTGCTAACATTTGCATGTATTGATTTGCAAATTTAGGTAATGACTTATAACAGCAGGGGCCTGGGGTGGGCTTTGTTTATTCGTGCGGGGGAGGGAGAGCTCCAAGAGAGTACTACAGTAGTCCACAGATACAGTACACATGTGGACAATGCAGAAGAGATGCCATGGCAGTGTGTCCCCTGAGAATGCACAGTATATATTTTGTCAGTTTGTGCTTTCTCAGAACAATTAGTGCAATCGGCAAAACCTCATGGATAACTTGCTAAAAAGTCACTTCCTCAAAATGAACTTAGAAAGTCTTCATGTCAATGAAACGGTCTGTTTCTGTGTCCTGACACCAGTGTTATATGAACAACAGTCAAATGATTTAGTCATGTTTTTCATTGTGACTGTATTATAGTGAGATATATATGTATGTACTGTATGTCCCTTTCCACCATAATTACTGCATAATGCTCTATGCAATTCTACAGCATTGTGCAACAAAAATAGCACCACATACAGTATTTACTTAGAACAAACATACATAACCCATCAATACTTCAACTCGGGTACTTCTACGCGGAGTATCTTCAAAAAACTCAGAAAACTCCATAAAACATTTTCAGATCTTTCATAAAACTTGTCAACAATCTTCAGCTATAATACCAAACTTCATCAGTCAATGGTTCTCAGATATTGCTTTGAAAACAGTCTCTCCCACATTCTCCGTGTTGATTTCTTCAGGCTGCATTTGTGTCAAGCCATGAATTCTTCTGTGACGTGTCTTTCAATCGCACGTTTCAGCTTTAGTGTCCAGATTCAGTAATTCAATTCAGTCCAAATTATGTCCAAATTCAAATTTTTCCAAATGTAATCCAGATTGTTCCAAATATGTCTTTTTGTTCCAAGTCAAATAACGTTCAGCGTTATATTACCAATAGTTTCTCTTTCCATAACGATATTCTCTCTTTTTGGAAAGATCACCAACGTGATGCAAAAGTTTACGTTATACACTGAAAAAAATCGTGATTAACATTTACTTAAAAAAATCCTCGTAAGTATTTGCACGAAGATATAATTAAAGATTACTACTATAAATCAAGTAAAACTTTTTATTTCATCAAGTATAATCTGAATGTTATTTGTAAGTAAACCTTACTTAACAAATGTGATTTTTTTTACTTGATCACATAAAATAATCAAGTAAGGTTTATGTGATTTTTTTTAGGTTATTTATGTGTGAAATAGATATACTGAGTAACCATTATGTGTACAGATCATTTACAATAATGGATAACTTGAATAAATGTTATTTATATTTTATCAGTATATTTCATATCATTGCAATAATACTTATTAAGTACTATATGTGTGTAACAATTACATTATTATTGAATTAATAAGAAAAAACAATATGCAAATATCAACATTTAACAACCTGTTTTATTGACAAACTTTTAAGTTCACACATCAACAATGAAAACTAAAAGATGAACTAAAGCTGACCTTAAAAGCAGAACACATGACAACAGAAAACTTAATTATCACAAAAAGGATGCAATGGGAATGGTATAGAGATAGGCCATTGATTTTCTATAATTAAATGTCATTAGCTTAGATGAGATGATGCACCTGCCTGGTCTTTGAGCCTCTGTTCAGCTAAAGACCAGGATGTTGTAGCATTAGACTCTCGCAGTAAATCTCAATGGCTCCAGACCGAGGTAATTTTAGAAGTGGCCGAGCTCTTTCACATTTTCCCTAATTAAAACACTGTTACATGAGGAGTTACTAGATTCAAGAATAGTCAATTAATTTAACATGTCCATGTTTTAATGACTAATTTTCATATTCTAGTCTAAGCTAGAGTCTAAGCTAAAGTAACAACATCAAATTATATAAAATCTGTGGCCTTTTCTCTTATGCTGAACAAAATTGCTTCTCTTATGTTTTGGACAGTAGCTTGACTTTCAGTGTTTGTATTTTCGGGGATGGCTTAAATGCATCTAAATGTAAGAAAATCTTCTGAAATACTTCGAAGGTGTATCGTAGTGTTGTAGGATAAGCAAGATTGAGGGAATATATTAGACCCATTAGCAGTGCACATGCCTTTGCAGTATTTCCACATCCAGTCACAATCTCCTTGCTGTCGAGAACAATAGAGACATCCACAGGTTCTTCATCAGAGGAAGAACAAACGACCAGGATCTTCATTTTGTGCCGGTGTTCTGCCGAGTTGTAACGCTCTGCCAAAAAGTGACGCTTATGTAATGCTCAGCTGTTAATGATGTAATGCAAACCTGCGCGCATGCGCGTCTCACGGCAGCCGAAACAAACCAAGATGGCGGACAGAAAGTCCGTGAATTCCTTTAAAAGTTATAATACGAACGAAATAAGACACGAATGTCACTTTTAATGCAATTTGAGGCGAGATGTTGATGGTTCCGTGTTGGCACATGTGGGTTTAAGAGTCAAACTTTCGGGTAAAGTTTAGTTTAAGCAGTCAACTGCACCTATGAAACCACTATGCTTATGTTATGATAGCAGTCCTGGCAGCTGACGTAGGCTGATGAAGCGTCCTGTGGCAACTCTACAGCTTACAACTGGATGAATGTTGATAATGGAAATAATACATTTAATTTAATGCAGCGATCACCTGCAGCAGCACAGCTTGTGGACTGCACACTTTTCTGTCAGTTCAGTTAATAATTTTCATGGGATGAATTCGAAGTTGCAAAAAAAAAAAATATGGCCATTTGGATATATAGTGCAACTTTTACTGTCAAGACTCTGCTGCAGCTGATCCATGACAACAACCACAGGATTATTATCACCAGTAACCACAGAGATTACATGCCATGGCCATGTTGTCCTTTGAAATGTAATTCATTCGTGGATTGATGAATTTTGACTAGTTTCCCAGATGAAAGATCGGGTGCATCCTTTCTATTAAAGAAATGAACAACACTGGTGAGTAACATTTAAATTGGAACCAATCAAAGGTTTTTTCATGGGTTTTATGTTAGGTTGTGCATAAAAAATGGGCTGTGGTATTGAATTGAATTTGTGTAGATTTTCCTGCTGAAGGATGTAAAGTTCCCGCATTGATGTCAAGCTTTAAATACAAGAGAAAACACGTTTGTAGTTTTTTTGTGTGGATCAATCAAGTCTGTAGGCTGTAAACTAAGTGTATTTTTAGAAATGTAGGAATTGTATTGACTTTGATTGGTTAGGCCCAACCAGGGACAGGAGTTGTGAATTGGCATCTGCTATAAACTACATTCATCACATCAGCTGCAAGCTTTGTTTATGACTGTGTCTGCATTGTCCCTGTCAAATAAATATATTGATAATGTTGAAAGAGCGTGGAGACTTCATTTTCAGAAATCAATTCATTTGCAGGTGCAAATGGTCTCGTCGTCACACCATGAAACAGACAAAGGGACAAAACATTTCAGTACACTACGCAAACAGCAAATTACAATAATTAACATACGTGTCCAATTCCACAGGAGTCTCAGATTTGTGGAGTTGGTTAGCTGGTGCTCGGGACGACTGGGAGCCAGGTCATTCCTGCATGTGATGTGCTCAGGATACGCGAAGAGTTCACAGATCCTGAAGGCCAGTGCGTTGGCTTTCTGTCCTGGTCAGCCTCTGTAATAATATATTATTAAGTTATTGTACTGTAATGTTTGTACAGTATTATTTCTTTACCAAGTGTTGGCTTTGCTGTTTGCTTTCCTTTGTTGTACTTTGGGTTGGAACTTTGAATAAAGACTGCCCCTTTGAAGAATCTTGCCCACGTTTGACATTTTCATTCAAGTGCATTCCTGCCCAAAAAAGCCTGCAAAAAAAAGTTTCAATGTTAACAGGATTTGTATTCTTAATTATTACAAAGAATAACGCTTCAGCTGTGATGTCTGGTGCTCGGAGACGGGTTTCTGCACATCTTTAGGCAATCAGTTGTTCATTTAGCTCTTCTTTGTACAATGGGGCATACCCTGAGAAAAACAATGAATTTGGTTACAAGAGAAATGTTTTGACTTGCGTGTGACAATCAGTGACACTATAGTCCGCTTCAAGACTTTTTCCATGTAAAAACTCCCTCCTACCTCATTGCTCTAAGGAAACACAAAAGTTTTAATTTATAATGAAAATACAATAAATTGTAATATTTACTACTAGACATACCTGTTCTGTTTGTATGTCAAGCGCCTTCTCACTCTCAAGTTCCATTGGTGTGTAGCTGTCACATTTGGCAGTGTCCTAAAAGCATTGGAAAAACGTTAGATGCAAAGTAACAAATATTACTGACATTACTATCCCTACCTGGTGAATCTGCTATTTTTCCCTTCTTCAAATCCTCCAAAAGCCTCTTGATTTTTCCTCCACTTGTTTTTGATTGGTGGGTCAAGAAAGTGCCATGATTGTCTCCTAAATAAAATAAGGTATAATTTGTCCCACAGTGGGAAAATGTGATTGTTACAGTATTTACTTACTACTTATTTACAGACGAGATGACATGTACAGGCTCAGCAGTTCTCACAGTACAGTCTGACAGCGGCAGGAAGGAAAGACCTGTGCAACCTCTTCTTCACACATAGAGGATGAATAGCTCTCACTGAAGCTGCTCTCCAGAGCAGAGTGTCCTGCAGGGGGTGACAGTCATGGTCCCCCACCTGCTGCACTGGGAACAGCCCATGACTGAGCTGAACTTACTGATGACCTTGTCCAGCTTCTTCCCCCTCTGTGTAACCCAACAATTGAACGAATGGAACTTACAGGATAATCTACAGGCACCTCTGAGGGGAACACAGCCTCCCGCCCATACATCAACTGGAATGGGGTGTGTTTGGTTGAGATGTGCACCTTTGACCTCAAAGAGAACAGTGTGGCATCAAGGAATGTGTCCCAGTTGTTCTGCTGCTCATTCACCAACTTCATCAAAGCTCTGAGAAAGACATTCCGAACATTGTTTAAATGGGGGAAATTAAAACATGTAGGGTTTGCCATCAGTCATATATTTAATGTGTGCTTCACATGATTAAATTATACATATCTTTCTTGCCTCTTGATGTTGTGGTTGGTCTTTTCGTCCAACCCATTAGTCTGTGGGTGGTACGCAGCGGTGACGCTTCTCTCAATGCCCAGCAGAGAGCACAGAGAATCATTGAGCTAAAACAATGAAAATTAAATGAATAAGAAAGTATGAACAAAAAAAAGTAACAACTACAAAAAGCAATATTCACCTCATTTACAAAATCCCGCCCTTGATCAGACAGGATCCGTTTCGGGCACCCATGCCTGTATATTATAGAGCAAAGTCTTTGCCCAACCTCCGCAGCCGTCTTGGTTTTCAATGGGAAAGCCTCTACCCACTTTGAAAAATAATCAGTGGCTGTAAATATGTACTGATAGCCATCAGTAGTTTTGGGGAAGGGCCCAGTTAGGTCAATCCCCAGCAGCTCCCAAACAGCAGACACCTAACATGCCAACAGGATTGTAATGCATAAATGTACATTGGTGGTTGAATAGTAACAATACAATTACCTTTATTGTTTGGAGTGGTGCAACTGTACCCAGAGTCTTTCCCTCACGTTGACATTGGTCACACTCAGCAATCTTAAAACGAACAGGCTTTAGGGAAGGGAATTGTACAGACAAATAATATCACATACCCAATTGTCAATCATCACAGTCATGCCACGCCAGTAAAACCTGGAACAAATGGCATGTCGGGTTTTTTTCATCCCAGTGTGGCCTCCCATGGGCGTAGCATGAAACTCTTGAAATAGTTTCTGCGCCTCATGTCTGGTTTTAATGGCTCTTCTTTTGCCATAGAACAGCTCACCATCTATAAAAAATAATTTATATGAAAACAACAGAAGAAGAATAAGACATGTATAACCATACTAGCAAATGCATTATTACCCTTTACTGTAAACTTAAGGGAGTACTTCCTCCAGTTGTCTCTTTGAAATTTATTCATTCCCTCAGGATAAATGTTCTCTGTGAGGAGGAGAAACATTTCATCCCATTTATGCTCCATTTTGATTATTAATCAAAAAGTAGATGTCAAATGAGGAAGTGAACATAAATGTGCAAGGATGGGTCTGGTGGAGGAGAAAGAGAAAACGTGTTACATGACTAACCAAAGTAATAACATCAAAAACAGATCAAAAACCCACACTAAAAATATCTTACTCTTGAAAAATGATGGAAATCTCTGAATTTGTATAAGTATTGAATTCCTTTCACCCTTCGATATCGAAAGATAAAGGCTCAAGGATGGGTCTGGGGAGAAAAAGGGAAGACGTTGTTAAATGACTACCAAGTACACCCGTGTTCATTATATGAGAGCTAAAATTACAGACTCAGCTTTAAAACAAGTTTATATATGAGAGCTAAAGTTACAGACCCGAGCTTTAAACATGTTATTAATGAGACTAAAGTTTACATAACTCACTTTTAGTACATTTTATTAATGAGACCTAAAGTTTACAGACTCCGAGCTTTCAACATGTTATTAATGAGACTAAAGTTACAGACCTCAGCTTTAACACGTGATTAATGAGACTAAAGTTACAGACCCCAGCAATTTAAACATGTGTTATTTAAGAGACTAAAGTTACAGACCTCAGCTTTAAACATGTGTTATTTAAGAGACTAAAGTTACAGGACCTCACTTTAAACATGTTATTTATCAGACTAAAGTTACCGACCTCAGCTTATAAAGCATGTTATTTTTATAGACTAAAGTTACAGACCCGAGGCTTTAAACATGTTAACAACCCAAACCCCCTTGTTAACATGTAAAATGGATTAGTCCACCATTGGCATGGGTCCTGTGGGCCACGTGACTCGCAAAATTCTACCCCCGGAAAAGTGGACTCGCCCGACCTTGCTGCCGCATTCGGCAGCAAGCCAGAGTGGTGATGAGCGCGGCGGTTTTTCAACTTTATTCACTGATCCGCCGGGTCAAAACAACCCGTACATGATTCAAATATACCATCATTCTAAAGCTTAGAATCATAGATGTATGGTGTGGTGGTGTTGGTTTGTCCAAAACCCCGGTTTACTTACCGTGTATTTTGCTATTAAGTTCTCGATCTATCTCCGGATCCGCGAGACAGCTGAGAGGATTGCCGCTTTCACCGTAATGCCAGTAAGAAGTGATCTGTGTACAGCCCGGGTAAATATCACCTGCGGCGGACGTCATGAACCCGCGCGGATGCCGAGGTTATCCCGACTCATTTTTTTTCAGAGCCAGACTATCTGTGGCCCAACTCTGCCTCATATTCGTCACTTTATTAAGCATATCTCAGGAAATAAACGGAATATCAGAACAATCCACACATTTATGGATTTCTATGAAAAAAAGATGTTTATTTGATAGTGGTGGTAGCTATATATTCTGATTATTTAGCTGCTCAGAATCAATGAACTATGTGAGTAAGACAGCGACCTCTTTCACCACAGCGGTTTCCACTGAGTCTTGCCTTGCTAATTAAAGTAATGAGGCCCCCTGCCTTTAAGGCCCCTGCTGTGAGCCCACACCGTCATCAGGCTGCGGTGCCGCTGTGGTAATATCACACGTCTGTCGCGGACCTGGAGTGTTGCTGAGGCTTTAAGCGGGGAGTTCAGGAAGGAGCATCCTTTTGTCAGCATGATTTTTTTGTTTAACAGCCTCCCTGCGCGATTGCAATGTACTCAAGGGCCCTCCATACCGTGGCTCACATCTATAATATATATAAGGGAATCAGGAGCTTTCTGACCCACCCACCCGCACCTGACATGACTCATATGTTTTGAGGCATCTAAAAACAACCCGCCCGAAACCGCGGGACCCGCGGGGGTGACTGCGGGGGTTCGGGCCGACCCGCGCACCTCGCATGTCCGTTCAGGGCTGCGGAAGCAATTGTCCCATTAATTTAAATTGGACTTCTGGTCCATGCACCTGTAAAAAAAGATAAAGTTAGTTTCAACTCAAAATTTTCAAAGCAACCAGCTGCGAAGATTTTGAGTTGAAGGCTTAACTTAATTCATCAAGTTTTGAAGAACGACACTATTAATGTTGTCCAGTTAAGTTTCCAAGTTCTGGCCAACTAAGTGTTTTAAATTCAAGTTACTGAAATTTTCAAGTCTGTAAAAACTTACTTTTTTAAGTTCAGATTACTGTCCCTAGAAAAAAACAATAACTTACTATTTTGAGTTTAAATTAGCCCCCACATTAAAAGGATCATATGTTTAATTTATATACGCATGTCAGGGACAAGGTCCACTTGGGTAGGGAAACCGAGCACCAGGAGGAAACCTATGCAGAACACAGAGAACGTGCCAATTCCACACAGAAAGGCCCTGTTCCGACCGGATTCGAACCAAGGAACTCGTGTCAGAAGCGAGAGTGCTATCCACTCAGCCACCGTGCCGCACACACGTGAACCCGAGGGGAAACATAATGTTTCGAAGACTGAGCCAGAGAATATAACGGCTACTTGGGGCTTTGGCCCTGTCGAGTACGGGTTGGTAAAAATAAATACAGTGATTTTTTTGGTCAAATTAGTTTTTGTTCAAAAGGTTGAATGCAAGCTGGTTGCCATAACACATATTTAAATGAGCAAACGCAATAAGTTACCTCACTATAGCTCGTTGAACTGTAAAAACACAACTCAAAAATATGGTTCACCTTACCAGATTTTTGCATTCACTGACAATAATATTTCCAGTTGGAATGGAACTATCTTGTGAGCCACTGAACTTACAGAAGTTCATCTACAAGCTTCCAAAGTCCAAATCCAACTTAATTTACAAATAAGATGAACTTTTCATCAGAAACTTCAGAAAGTGAGTGTCGAAAATCAGAACGCATAGGCAGGGATCTTTTGCACACCAGAGCTAACTTGGAAGTTTATTCCACAGACAGGTGGTAGATTCAGGCAGAAAAATAAACAGGAAAACATTAGATATTGGATAGATTGGCGTCATTCAGCTAAAACAACGTATACACAATCGTAGCAGATATATACAATCAAAGAACATTGTGTGTCCCCTTGTACTTCTATTTTATCTTGTTTTGTACACTAAAACCAGGCCATGGCCTTCTATGTTCATAAGTTCCAACTGGCAATTTTTTATTGTCAGAGAATCAACAAATCTTAGTAAGGTGAACAATTTTGAGTTGTATTTTTTTACAGTCCAGCACCAGAATCGCATTAAAGGTGAAGTGTTATAACAACATTATTTAAAAGAATTAAATTCAGAGGCTATTAATATTATGATTCGAAGTTTGCGTGGTATCCGTTAGACATTTCTGATGCGGCAATTCATGTTTTTTAACATGATTGCCTGAGTGTGAACATGTTTATTATTGTCCAAATTCTTGATTTCATCGTGTTTTGGCGTGTTGTGGCCGAAGGTTTTGAAATGAGTAGTTGCTAGACTGGTAGTAAACTTGTAAAACGGAAAATGCTAATACAAATGTATGATGGGTTGGTGAACTTTCTTCTCTCCGTGTATTTACAAATATAATGGAGTTGGCTGATGAATGTCGCTTAGTTTTAGACACTAGCATACCCCAAGCGAAATTGTCCCCATGTTTTGAAAAGAAGGAAAGGATGGCTGCTAACTATTTGCATGTATTGATTTGCAAAATTAGGTAATGACTTATAACAAGCAGGGGCCATGGGTGGGCTTTGTTTATTCCGTGTGGGGGAGGGAGGCTGCTTCTGTCCCCGGGTATTTTTAGCAGTGGTAAAAACCCTGAAGGAGCTAGCTTGTTTTCCATATCTGGACACAGCACATTATAAGTGACTGCACTTTGTCTGATTGTCTTTAAGTCTTCTCGTTGCTTCGTCTCAAAATAGACGCTTAACACTTGAGTTCTCACACAACATTTTTCACAGCCTAAAGGTGCCACACAGCACGGCCATCACAAAACTCAAAACCAAACTCTTTTGTCCATCAGACTGGAAATGGCCTAGGTTTTTTGCCTTTTCAGCAGCAGGGTTCCATTGTTTACATATCTTATCACTATCATGCTATCTGTCTTCCATTTTTTTTTTTTCGGCGCGGAAGACCAGCTGAGAGGGGAGCTAAGCCACGTAGTGGTCCTATGCAGGCAGTTAAAGCGCACAGAACAGAGGCAGATGCTTTAAATAGCCATAAAATGGCCCACATCACATCTCAAAGACTGAAAAACAGCTAGCCTACACATGTAAACTAAAACAAGTGTAGGTTGAGGGAACATCAAATGATCATATGCATATAGCAGACAGACAGTGACGTGGCGGTGAGGATGTGATTGGGGGAGGGCACTGACTTTAGAATTCAGATTTACTTCATTATTAAAATAAAATAGCATTTTAATCCAACCGATGCCAATAAACATTCACAATCATCCCATCTGTAACGATGAGAGAACTAGCTTCTTTTTAATAATACTCACAACCAATCTAGTTGCTGACCTCTCTGTTCCGCATCAAACTACATCTGTAAGAAAACAGGTGCGAGAGAACGTGTGCAGAAGAGAGAGACGTGAGAGAGAGAGAGAGACGTGAGCAGAGAGAGAGAGACTGAGCAAAGAGAGAGAGCAGCGAGAGACGGTGAGCAAGAGAGAGAGAGACGTGGAGCAAGAGAGAGAGAGACGTGAGCATAGAGAGAGAGACTGAGCAGAGAGTAGAGAGCAGAGAAGAGACGTGACAGA